CTAAAAAAAACGCCCCCCTTCTTGGATCGATCTCCTCCCAGATGGCCCCAGGAAACGCCCATGAGGCCCTAAGAAGCGAAAAGATGGCCCCAAGATGGCCCCAAGAGGCCCCCAAGAGGCCCCGAACAGGCCCCCCAAAGGCCCCCGAGGCACACAAAAAGAGCCCCCGGAACCGCCAAGAGACCCACAAGACGCCCCAAAAGGCCACCAAGAAGCGCCCAAGAGATACCCCAAACACCCATGGAGGCATCCAAGAGACCTCTGGCCTTTTTGCTTACCCTCCTGCTCCTGCTCCTCATTCCTCCTCCTCCTACTCCTTCTCTTCCTCCTCCTCCTCCGCATCCTCCTCCTCCTCCTCCTCCTCCTTTTCCTCCTCCTCCTTTTCCTTCTCATCCTATTCATCCTCCTTCTCCCCACTGCCTCATCCATCCATCCATCCATCATCATCCTTTTCCTCCTTCCTCCTTCGTGCGGTTCGGCACTTCTCTGATCGCCTCAACTCGCCTGGACATCGTTTCTGGATTGGTTGGCGGGGATGCTTTATTGATCGCGACCGCGTCGAACGAAGCCGGGCGGCGCCAAGAGCGCAACGAGCAAGCGGCGGCCTGAATTACGCGCACCGAGAAGGGGCAATAAAGAAAAGAGGGGGACAGCGGGGAGAGGAACAAACAGGAGGCGAGCCTCGCTGCCGCTCAAGGAAGGGCGCTGTCACAAGGAGTATCATCCAGGCGAATGCAACACCAAAATGGCGGAATTCGAGTTGTACGACACCGTCACGTACACGCCGAGGAGGGCCACCAGGAAGACACAAAGCGGAACCAACGCCAGGCCCTGGTACCGCAGATGCAAGTGACAACCGTGCCACGCGCTTCGGTGGGTGTCGATCAACGCCATGCGGGCGCTCAACGGAGCAGAATCCGGATCGCCAGACACCGTCGAGGCCGTCTGGGTGGGTGCCGTCTGGGTGGGTGCGGGCGGCGCGCGCCACCAAAAAGGCGAGGGGGCCCAGCATGAGGACCGCCAGGGAGGAGCCGGTGCGGTGGGAGAGGACCGGGGGTCTGTCGACCCCGCGCCGGGGAGGGAGGCCGCGGGCCACAGGAAGAAGGACCAGCAGGCAGAGCCAGAGGCAGCCGGGGACAGGCGGACGACAGATAGTGACGGTCCGCGCCGGCGGTTGATGGGGATTTTCCCGTCGCAGCCGCAAGCGAAGGCGCAGGCGGCGTCAGAGGTCAACCCGGGCTACAGGCGACCCTAATTGCCCAGCGAACACACTCATGGCTGCCGAAGCTGCCGCCGAAGGAGGCTGAGGGGCGCCGGGGGCTGAAGGCAGGCTGCGAAAGCTGCCAGGAACGCCAGGCGGCCAGCGCGCGGGCATCCCAGAGGCAAGACCACCGGGAAGAGGGTTAATTGAACCTTGTCGCACCAGGCGCCAGAGGTAGACGCGCCACCACGCGTGGCGAAGCGCGGGGCTGGCTGGTGGGCATACTTTTTTGTCGGCAGCCGCAGGCGAGAGCGCCAGCGGCGAGTCAAAGTCCGAGCGGGGCGCGCAAGGGCCGAATTAACCAAACAGGAGCAAACTTAATACCGCCACTCAGAACGGGACCAGGAGGAAGCCAGAGGTGGGGATACTTTTCGGTCGCGGCCGCGAGACGACGGTCAGGCGGCGAAAGCAAAGTCCGGGACGCGAGCTAGGCGAATTAGCTAAGACAGGCGCAGGCCGGCCGGCCCACTCAGACTGCAGCTGCTGAGCTGCGGGGGGTGGAGCTGACGGCGAATGGCGCCCTGCAAGCTCGGGCACGTGCACAGGACAAAGTGTCTCGGAATTCAAAGCTTGCCATGGCGCAACCCACACAGAGGGGACGTGGACCACGATGTTCAAGTCCGTCGTGCTGGGGGATGGCAAAAAGGCCATTGGAGTGAGTCGCCGACGTGGCGCCAGGCTCCGAACGCCCCGTCGGCCTGAGCTAGCCAGACAGGCTGAGCAGTCGTGAGCCGTGGTGCAACGCAACTGGGGAAGCTGAAGGTGGGCCTGTAGGGCTGTACCTGCTGCGGAAGGCTGTACCACTCTGCACCATGGCCAGCCCCAACCAGAGGTGGGGATACGCGAAGCGTCTAGAATTTGCACCGTTCGCTTATATGTGTGTCTGTTGTAAGCGCCAAACGTAGCAGTAGTTTCGAGTGCGACGTGAGTTTGTTATGGTGCATGCTGTTATTTGATTGTTGCCCTCGTGTGGTGTGCAACGTGTTTGCCGCGTCTATAGGGAGTGGGTGTTCCGCATGGGTTGGCTTATGTTATGTGTGTAAGTTCCTTACACGTCGTGTGCAATGTTAGTGGTTTACACTTGTACAGCCCATGGATGTGCCGCATGACTGTTCCTGTGTGATGTGTAGACTACCCACGTGTCTTGGTCAACTCCTGCTGTAATTAATGGCATGGTATGTCTGATATTACGTGTGTAATGTATGTACACGTGATGTGCAATATCAGCTTTTTACACGTGTACGGCTCATGGATGCTCCGCATGTCTGCTCCTGTGCGATGTGTGTGGATTGCCAGTGTATCTTAAGACACACCTGTGTGCAGATTACCAGTGTCTCAAGCAGGACGTGACTAAGACGTCTTAGTCACGTCCTGCTGTAATTGATGAGTGTCCATTGCACATACCATGTTTCATGTGTGGTGCTGAACGTGAATATGTCGCCCACGCTTGTCCTCCCCAAAAAGTTTACCCGCATGTGGGCGCCACCCCAGTTTCGGCACACCGCTCACACGTTTCGTGGTCCCACAGGGAGCTCCACCGAAAGTCCCACCGGCGCAGCCCGAATGTCGGCGCCACTCCCGTTCCGGCACACCGCTCAGACGTTCCGAGGCCCCACAAGGCACTCCGCACAAGGCCCCACCAGCGCAGCCCGAATGTGGGTGCAACCCCCGTTCCGGCACATCCCTCACGAGGTTCGTGGCCCACAGGGAGCTCCTGCTAAGGCCCTAGTGGAGCAGCCCGCATGTGGGCGCCACCCCCGTCTCAGCACACCCCTCATACGTTTAGTGGCCCCATAAAGAGTTCCACCCAGGGCCCCAGTAGCGCAGCCCGCATGTAGGCGACACCCCCGAAGCTCCACCGAAGGCCCCAGCGACACATCCCGCGTGCGGGCATTACCCAATAGGGAGTTCCACCCCTGACGCTACCAACAATTGCGGTACTCACAACTGCATGTGGTTGTGCTCTTCGCCAAGCTAACTTATAGTTCTCAAAGTGAGGGGGCCGAACGGTCAATCAGTGTCCATGGGCGCGTGGCTGAGAAGAGGTTCCGCGGTGCGGAGTGTTGCACGCGATTCAATTTGGAATCACGCCATCGTTCGAGACCTCCTCGCGATTCATGCAGGACTGACTGCTTCAGCAACCCGCCTGCTCGACCTGGCCGCTTGGGCCTACCTTCCCGACCCGCCAGTTAGGGTCTACCCACCCGATCTGCCCGTCTGGTTCTGCAACGTGCGTTCTGTTCCTAGCCCCCTCCTGCTAATCTCTCTCATGCTCCATCCTTCTCCCTCCCCCATCCATCCGTCCTCTTTCTGCGAAGCTAGTTCTTATACAACACCACCGCCCACAACAAGAAATAATCGCAACAATGGTTGGAGGCAAAGTCATGCCAGACGATTCTGCGACCCCGCGGCGAACCAGAGCTAGGCGCGTCGCGCGGGCGCCGTGGTAGGGGAGCTCCTGAAGCAGAAGCAGCATATCGTGGTGGTGGTGTATTAAAATCGCTGCTCTTTGTAACCAACATTATGTACACCACCGCCGCGGTTGTTTTGATCAAATCTGTTTCGGTCCTGAAGAGAAATGGGGCAGCCCGCTAGTCGTTGGCGGCGGGAGAGGGGCTGCGGGTTTTCCACCAGAGTAGAACTGCACCAAATCAGATCGTAGTTTTGATCCCGCTCTTGGTGGTGATGGTCATATAGTGTGCTCGGATCTCTTCCCCTGATTTAGGGAATGCGCGAAACACACGTGGCAGGTAAGGAAGATATGCCCCCAAAGGGGCACGATTGAAGACGAAGAGAGCGGGTACCGACGGGTTGGGATCTACGTGTTGACTGGTACGCGAGCAGGTAAAGTAAACAGTGTTAAACTTATGGATGTTAGTGGTGCGTTGTTGTTGTTGCGTTGTTATCGTCGTCGTCCTCGCCCGCAACCCGCCCGCGACCCACCCCGCAACCGACCCCGCGCAGCGACCCACGAACATTACTCTGACCCTGCGGCGTGATCGTTATATAAGTTGTACAAGTTCCACGCCTGCGGCGGGCATCTTCAAGACCTCGCAGACTGCCGACGACCCCGCCGCCCTCTCCCTCTTATCAGCAATTGCGGGGTGCTGTGTATGTTAGTGACGCGTTGTGTCTATGCGACTCGTGTATGCCACTGGGGTGAGTAATCGGTTCTGTCGTCAACTGTCGAGGGCGTACGGCGGACTACTGGCGAATAGATACTGGCGGCGTGTAGACTGACCCCGAACGCCAGAACTGAGGATTGGAACGCCCGACTTAGGAAATGACAACAAAGCGTTCGGTGGCCGCAAACACATGTTTTCAAAACCGACGGCGAAGGGTGCTGGGAAGGCGACTTATTGCTTCAAGCGGATGGCGCCCGCGGCGATACCGACAGCGAGTCCTGATCAAAATGACGAGGAACCGATGTCCATCTTCGCCTCCGTTCTTTCCATACCGATTCCTGTGTATAGGAGACGCAGATCCTGAGAGAAACGGGTCCTCGATCCCGAGGTGCTCTCACCGGGACCCGTTTTCCATCCTGGGTCTGTCTCTGCTGCCCCGGGAGCCGCGGAGGGCCCCGGGAGCCCAAGGATCAGGAGAACCCTCCGGGACCCGCCTCCCTCGGGAGCCGCCTGCGTCCCGGCGACGGTCCCCCTGCGAGGGTCCACGCCGGGGTCAAAGGCACACGGCGCCGCAGGCCTGGGGCCGCCTGGCACCGCACCGCCGAGGCCCTGGCCAGCCCGCCGCTTCGCAGCCCGACGAAGGGCATGGCCACCACGCCCTCCAGCGGGCAGGAGGGGAGACGGGAATCGAACGCGTATACACGTCCACCTCCTTTCTCCCCCCTCCCTCTCCTCCTCTGGATGGTTTCGTCCGAGGGAGGTTTCCATCGCGTGGGCCCTGGGAGGAGGGAGGGAAAGCTGGAGGAGAAGTTTCGTTTGAGGTCGACACTCCCTCAGCCACATGTGCCACACACAAACGGCGACTCCTTTGGAGGAGCCGTTCCGTACACCTCAAGCAATCTCGACGAAATGCAGCGCACGAACTGCAAATTTACAAAACGTGTTATAGAACGTCCACGGTCACTCCAGGCTTCGTGCACAAAGGATAAACAACTTCTGCAGACGGCCCCACGGGTTGCTATGCGAGGCAACTTTGTATGGCTCCTACTTGTTCCCCAGGCGGTCCAGGCCACCTCCTCAGGTGTGATACCCGCACACGTTGGCAAATACAAACAAGAATCCCATCCGAACAACGAATTAAGACGCACTGATGTCCCAGATGTTTGAACACTGATGATTGCACATGCAGGGTACACGAACACGCGCCACCAAGAGGTTCCCCCCTCGGTTGGCCACACTTACCACGGACACAATGTTGGCACTGCCAGTAGGACCCGACCCAATGCCACACGTGCGGTGACGTAAACGGGACCCGCTCTCTGGCAGGCGCTTTGACCAGCTCGACATTGCTGTCCATAGTCAGCCTGGGCCACATAGACATGCGCCTGGCACCTAAACGCCCCACGACACGGGACACCGCTAAGGACCCGTCTAGACCCTCGAGCCCCGCGGGAAAAAGCGAGGGATGCAAGGATGCCGCAGCTTTGGCCGACACGTCAGCCCATTCGCTGTCCTGCCTACGGTATCTATCCCACTCAACTTCAGCCCCGTGGACTGCGAGGTGAGCCTTCAGCTTGAATACCTTGATCTTATGAAAATGCTCACGGATGTACTTCGCGATGCCCGAAAACAGACGCCTGACCGAGATCTGCTCGGGCCAAGGTAAAACGGCAAACTCTACACAATTTAGACAGTCGGAATAAACCTCACAGGTCCCGTGCTCCACGGAACAGCGATCAACTGATCGATAAACTCGGCCGCCTCGGGGAAATGAGGACATGGGCCCCAGACAGGCCCCCTGACACGTCAGCTGGAGGAGGAGGGTAGGGAGGAGGGTTGATGAGGAGGAGGAGAAGGAGAGAGTTGGAGGCGGCTGGGGGGTCGGAACTGCTTGGGACCGGTCAGGAGGGGGGATGATACCAAATCCGCTCAAATTCGGCCCCCGGGCTCCTCCCGGGGTCCATCTGATGCAGCTTTCACCCTGGATCCGTTCTCACGGCCCCGGGACCCCAGAACGGCCCACAGAGGCCGAAAGAAGCAACAAAAAACCTTCCCGAATCCCGACCATCAAACCTGCCCGAACCCGGACGGCCGCCTCAGGACCCCGAGACGGCTCCCAGGAGGGAGGAGGAACTTGGAGGAGGTGCGGGACCCCGCAGGAAGGAGAAGGGAGGATCGGGGGACACGGAAGGGGGGGATAGCAAAGGGTAGGGCAGAGAACTGGCTCCGGTAGCTGATCTTCCCAGCGCCTCCCGGCGCCGGGACGCGCCCATGTATCGAGGAATGGGCCCAGCGGCGGGGCCGAAACCAGCTGCATATTTCGTAACCCCCCCCACTTTCCCTATCCCCCCCCTTCCTTCGGTAGGGAGCCCACAAAGGACGTACGCGCCCAGCTATGTACATGAACACGGCCCCTCGATCCGCGAGACCGGCCGCGTTAAACGAACATTTGCGCAATGCGTACTCTCGAAACCAGCGTGGATTCATGTACATGCACGTCCCTCTTTCGCTCCTGATTCGGCCCGAGAGATGGGAGGCCTCCATCGCGTGGGCCGTGGAGGCGCCGAGGTTGCGGAGCCACCGCCGGCGGCCCCGCCCCCAGTCCAGGGCGCGGTACACGGCCAGCCTCTCCGGCCCGCGGGCGCTCGGCGGCGGCTGCCCCTCGGCGGCCTCGCGGCCAGGGCTGTCGTCGGGGCGACGGCGACGGCGACGGCGACGACGACGACGACGACGACGACGACGACGACGACGACGGCAACGGCGCCCCCAGAACCCCCAACGCCTTGGCAAACAACAAGACGAAGACGTTTGGCCGTTTTCGGCCTCGGGGGGCCCTCGCCAGGCCCCAGGGACCGTCACAGAGACAACTCGGGGTGACACGCTGGCCCTGGGGACAAGCGGTTGGAACGCCTGGAGGCCTCAGATCCCGGGAGAACTACCGCTACCGCTGCTCCCCAGACCTCGCCTGGGAAGCCTTCTGACCAGGGTTTCGAGGCGAATCCAGCCGTGGCGACGAGGACATCCCAGCGAAGGGTACTTTTCCCCCCCCCCCATGAGATCCGGGCGTCGCTAAAGAATCGCATCGCTAAAGAATCCGCGGCCGGTTCTTCAACGTGTTCGCCCTCCGGGGGCAGCCTCCCGGCCCCTGAACCGCCAAAAAACAATTCATGTCGAGATCTTTGCGGGCCCACGCCGCGAAGCAGCGCTGCGTCGTCGGAGGAGAGGGGACGTCGTCGACGGCGCTGGTTTGCTGCGTCTTCGGGTTGCACGCCGTGGGGCAGCAGCAGCCTGCGCGCTCACGCGTGCCCTCCGCGAGCACCAACGGTCACTCTGGCGGACTTGGGCAGGGGGTGAGGCGGGGCGGAGGCCGGCCTTCGGAGCAGGCAGCGGGGACTTCTCAGAAGAGCTCGGAGGCTCCTACTGAGAGGGCTTCTTAGAAGGCGAGAGTGCTTCCACCCTGAGGTCCAGAGCCACGGACAAAAGTCGTCGGGCATCGTCAACAACCACGACCGGAGCCCTAGACCCCCATCTATGCCTGGAACTTCTCGAGCCAGCTCGATCTGCGAGAGCCCCGGGGCCCGAATCTGGATGAGAACACCTGGTGCGAAAAAGAACGCGACGCCAGGGTCTCGGGGAAAGGATCCCCCTGTCTGCGCGGAGATTCGAAGAGAGCGCCACGGTTACCTCCTGGAAGGAACGTCCGTTCCCCTGGATGGGGGGAGGCCCAGGATGGGGGCGGGCGGGAATGAGAACGGCGACGGGGTGTGGCGGCGGCGCCCGCGCAAGCTTGGATCGAGGGCGGCCGCGGCCTTGACGACGACGGAGACGAGCCACGACGAGGGCGACGACGACGCCGTCCGGACGCTCCAAGAGGCCCTGGGAAGTCCTTCTGGAGGCCCCCATCGGCTGCCAGCAGTCTCCCTGGAGGCCTTGGATCGGGGAGACGTAAGGCTTGGGTTCGGGGGACTCGGCTTGGCCTGACGGTGCCATCAGGAAAATGGCAAGACCCAATCTGAAATCTGACGCGAGCTCTCGCTGCAAACATCCCACGAAAATTGGACCGTCGAACATCCAGGACGCGCTCGTCAAAAAGCGTCGGCAAACCCGAGTTCTGACGCACTCGAGTCTTACGTTTCATCGCTTAGAGGGACCAGAAAAGCACCACAACAGCCTAACTACATGGAAAGCTGTCCAGCGGACCGACATCATTCATCACGACAGCCTGCGAGCGGCACGGCGTGCCTGTGAGCACCGCAAGGAGCACGCGAGCACAGCGTGCTGCGGGAGCACCGCAGTGAGTGCTCGCCCCGCCACAGGCGTGTGCCCCCAGTGTGCCGAGGCCGGGAGGGGCAGGCGCACTGGCCATCAGGCATGCGCCAGGGCCAAGACAGGCTCCAGCCGCGCCATCAAATTCCCGAGCTCGGACACCGGATGTGAAGGATGCAGGACCCTCGGGACCTTCACGCTGGAACGGATGCTACATCATCGGGACAAGCAGCTCCGACATCTCAGAGTACAATCGGGGCTGGGACACACGGACAGCATTGATGAGCCATGGCAGACCGCTGACCCTGTTTCAACCGCTGGGGGCTTCGGAGGGCCTTCAATTAACTCTGGGGACCTCTAGATGCCTCCGGAAATTGGCATCGTCGTCGTTTTCGTTACTCCGCAACCTCCAGTTGTTCCTTAGCCTCTTGCATCTGTCCTTCTGATCCTCCTACTGCTGGAACGCCATTTGCGGACAAGATGGCATCCACATCAACCCGCCCTCGTCGCGGGGGAGCGCCCAGGCCACGAAGATCCGATTTCGGCTATGAAGCATCTCGGTTCCGTAATAGCCTTCGAGCAGCGCAACGTAGCCATGTCGCGTCATGTTGAATGACTACCTACTAAAACATCCAAACCCAACCTAAAGTCACCGTTGGGCTCGTCGATTTCCAATGAGGAGGCACACACCCCAACCCGAAACTTGGGTGGGCTAGAGCCTTCGGGTTCGGTGTAGTGGCTTGGTGAATCGTAACTGAAAGCGCCACAGCATGCCTGCGAGCACCAGCCGCATGCCTGCGAGCACCAGAAAGCCACGAGAGCCAACAACAGTCCCGAGGGCATCGACACCGCACTGTGCCCGTGAGCACCACGATACACCTGCATGCGCCACACTATTCCTGCGAGCACCACGATGGCGCGCGAGCGCCAGTGTGCAAAGCGCGTGGCCACCGGAATAGCCTGCGAACGCCACGATATACCTGCGAGCGCGAGGAGGGAAGGGGGGGGGGGGGGGCGCCACCCCCCACCGTGCGGGGCGGGGGAGGAGAGGGGGGCAGGGGGAAGGGGGTAACTGACGCCACCACTCCAAAACAGACTTGTATCAGGCGGCCGCTCCTCACTCCTGTATACATGTATCACAGATTTCCTATCAGGCGGCCGCCCCTCGCACCGAGCCGCCCCTTGAGCGCGCCGCCGAGTCCCCGCATGCGAGGCCTCCGGCGCCTGGTGCACGAAGAGTGCGTAGCAGCACACGTCGCACAGCCGGAGCTGGGACCCGGTGTCGAAGAAGCGGGCCAGGCGCACCTCCTGCCGGGGCGAAGGGCGGAGGATGAGGCGGAGGAGGGGGCGGAGGAGGAGAGGGGGCAGGTAAAGAGAGAGCCCGCCGCACGCAACCCTGAAGTCCCGGCGTCGCAACATTTCACGCTGGGCGGATTCGCCCCTTCTTGGACGCCCGGACCATCGCGGATCGGTCCAGCTCGAGAAGTGCTGCAGAAACGTAGTAGGATCTAGGGCTCCGGTCGCGATATCCCACGATGTTGAACTTGATCGTGACGTCGACCTCAGGGAAGAAAATCGGCTGCACGCAAGACCAACCAGAGGCAACAGTGACGGTTGGTGCAAGGTTTTCGGAGTGGGTCGGGGGGTCCAAACCGAACCTCGCAAGCCGCTGCTATCGCATCGCCTTCAGCGACCAGGCGGGCCCGCACGAAAGAGCCACTCTGGCGAAGGGTCACTCTTCACGTGCATCCGAAAGCAGACACCGCCATCGCCATGGTGCAGGAGCCAGGCAAGGCCCCTCTGGTGGTACAATTCCCCTACTTTGCGGCGCCCCGCCTGGAACCCCAATCTCCAGTCGGGGAATTCGGAATCATCGTGGACAACCTCGCTGCAGGTGGCCTGCCGGTGAAGGGCAGCGGCGCTATGCACCCTTCCTCCGATCCTGCCGGGGGCCGCCGCTGCTGTGCGCCATGTGCGCGCACACGTCGCAGGCCAGGAGGTCCGCGGGCAGCTGCTTGTGGAAGGAGTCCACCACCTAGGGGACGTCCGACACCAGAGTTCTCTGGGCGACGCGGGGGCGCCAGGGAGAAAGTGCGAGGGGGCGGGCCTTCTCAGGAGGCTCGGAAGCCCCCTGGCCTTATCAAAGTGTTCTGAGCCTCCCCCGAGGACACAGAATACTTCTCAGAAGGCCCGAGGGCTTCTGAGAAGCCCCGCCGCCTTCTGACAGGGCCTTGTCCTTCTCACTTGCCCCCCCTCGCTCGCCGCCGACAGTAGGCAAGAGTGATCTCTGAAGCTCGGCCTCGGGGGGGTCGCTGGAGACCCATGCCGGGTGCGCAAGCCAGCACGTGACATTCGCAGCAGGCACTATACGTCTGTTGAAAGCTCCCGGCTGTGTTTCTCTCGCTCGCCATCCGCCGTTACTCGGAGGAGGGCTAGCTGAGACAACGCGGGCTCCCCCGCCTGGCCCCAAACCCGCTCGCAATCGGCCCCCAGACCCCTCGCGGGGTTCACCCTGACCTGTTTTCCGAGGCGGGTCCAGCCGTTGCGATGGGAAGCTTCCAAGGGGGGGCCAGCAGAAGCACGGAAAAAGACGGCGAGGGCCGCCGCTGTCCCGACTGGCCCCCCTCCGACGTACGCGTTGTTGGGGATGGCCGAAATGGGTGCAGCAAGAATGAGAACCATGCCCAGCAGCAGACGTTGTCCAGAACCGACGGCGGCCGCTCGTGGGCAGGCGGCCCGTTGTCTCAAACGGACAACGCCCGCGGCGACACCGACAGCGAGCCCTGCTCGCAGTGGACAGGATGTATCCGGTGCCGCTCTGTGTGCCCACTCCTCCCGTACCGGTTCTTCGAATTGGCAGGTCAGGGGCACCCTCGGCAGCCCGGCGCCGGCGGCCGCCTCCTCGCGGATGAGGTCCCTCAGGCCCTCCGCGGCCGCCGCGGCCTCCCCGCCGCAGGCGAACACGAGGGCCTCTCGGGCGTCCGCTGGCGTAGGAGCAGTGAGGGGGTGAAGAGACGTGCGCTTCTCGTTATGCGGCAGCTCATGGGAGCCTCCCATACCATCTTGGTGGCGCTTGTGAACCGACGCTGGTCGACGCTGAATCGACGCTGAATCGACGCTAGTCGATGCTAACCGACTCAAATCGACTCTAAATTGGCGCTATCTCATCGACTACCAGGCGCCAACCGATGCGAACGTTCTCGAAGGACGGAATTTCGATGGTTACATAAGGCTCCCATGATGTGCTACCGAACTAACGGGGGGGCAATAAACGTGGGGGTGAAGAGACGTGCACCTTTTCTACAGCTTTTTGACCCGCAATGGTAGTTTAGAAACCCTGGGCCCCTTGGGGCAAGTTTCCTGTTATCCTCGATCCCCCCATGTGTATGGATAGTTTTTGTTCTCTGGCGATACCCAGCTATCCGATGGGGGGGAGCCAATAGCTTTACCTTTCGCTCTAGACAGCCTCGATGCCCGCGGGCACCAGTACTGCGGACCCTCTGAAACCTGCGCACCCGACAAAGCAAGGCTATCCAGGGGGGGGGGCCCGATGGCCCGAACTACCGTCGAACACTGCAAACAACAGTCTCGTATTGCTCCCCCTGTGGTCATATCACGATTCGCGCCGTTTGGAAATCAACCATTCCTAAGCATTCCCCCTCCAAGTCTCCTCCCCCCTCCCGGTCACGCTCGTCATCGCCTGGGGATAGGCAACGATCTCTGAGGGGCCGCTGATGGCTCCTGCAGGCCTCGACCCCACCTTGCCTGGGACGCATACGGACAATACTGGTACGATGTGCCTCTGTTGGAGACGCACACTCGGCCCGGACATGCATGGCAAAATCTCGCGGTATATCGCCTCTCGAGCGGTATGGCCAGACAGCGCCAACCACGGAGCTCATTCTACTAGAAGATTCCCAGGCTTGCGCGTCGCCTTTGCGTGGCCGACGCGCACATAGCAGTAGGTGGCGACATCCGAGCCTAGCCCCCACCAACCATCGATCCTCCTGAATCGATGGGAGGCCGGGGGTAGGGTTCGGATTTCGCCACGTGTTCGACGAATTCCTGAATCGTTGATCGGCGAGGGCGGGGTTCGGATTCCGCCACCGAGACGCGAGCAAATATGGCTTACCCTGGGCCAGGGGCACCCTTTCCCCGGGGGTCGGCTTTTCGTCCTGAGCCGTTTCTCTGCGGCCCCAGGGCTCGATAAAAGCCCACAGAGGCTCAAAACAGCACAAACTTCCCGTCCTGATTTTCTCAGGATCCCTTTCTTGAGCGGCGAGGGTAGGGTTCTGATTCCACCGCCGACGTATAAGTACAACCCTCGGAAAAACAGAGCGCGCACTCATGTCACATGCATCTGTCAAGGCCTCCCCGTCCTCCCATGCAAGCCCTGGCGGTGGGTCGGATGAGCTGTACCTCGACCGCAGCCTCCTCCGCTCGTGCCGACTTTGCGCTTGGGCGGGAGGGGGAACGTTCGATAGTTGACCCTCTGTCTGGCCATCGCTCGGACGTCCATTCCCTGTGTTTTTTTTCCAGTTTCGTGCGTGGTTTCTTCGCAGGATGACCCTGCATGCTCCTTAATCATCCCCGCCGAGAAAAAGTGCACACGTCCGAGCGATACCAAGCTGTGTGGGCGGTGCTGAGTGGCCGGTCGCCCGCGCCTCGCTCAGCAGCCGCGGCGTGGCTCGCCGGCTCAGCACGAGCCGCCCCGCGCCGCGGTGCTGCACCAGGCCGCCCCACAGCGGCTGGTCGCCGAAGAAGGCGATCACGACGCACGGGCGGGCGTGCCTGGCCGGAGGTCCGAGGGGGCTCAGTGCGATTCCTCCGACTCCTCGGTTCGATCCGATGTCGATCGCTCCCGGTTCCGGTTCCAAGTCGGCTTCGGGTTCGGGTCGGGGCTTCGGCTTCTCACGGGTGTCCTTGCTGGCCTGCCGATTTCCGCCGATCCGACTTCTCCCGACTTGGCTGCCGCACGTGGGCGACGAGCGGAAACGGGCCTTACGCGAGATGGCATAACCGCGGAGGGTCTGTAATCCCCCGAATGATGGGAAGATGATTCATCTCTGCGCGGGCTTACTGACGGAGTGGGGCCCCCAATAATACTTGGTAACTAATAAATCCCCACGCGGCGGTCACCGCTCAGGCCTCCGCCGTCGTCGTCGTCGCCGCCGTCGCCGTCATCGTTTCCCACTGCGTGGGAGGACGAAGGGGAGATCGAGGAGGGGAAGGACGATGAGGGGAGGGACGAGTTGAATTGACAGCCGAGAGCTTAAGTGGGGGGGTAGCATCGAATGCCCTCTGAGGTGAGAGACCTGACGCGGTGGCTTACGCGGGCCGCCAGCGCGGAACGCCACGCTCGAAGCGAGGGCGACCATGACGCAAGGGCGGGCGGGCCTTCCCAGAGATTCGATACGGCAGGAAGACCCAGAATCGGATCGATACGTCTGGTCCGCGATCGAATATCGAATCGGATCGGCGGAGATCGGCGAAAACTGGAATTCGAATCGGACCGGAATCGGAATCACTCGAAATCGAATCGAACCGAGTCGGAGAAATCGAAATGAGCCCTGAGATAGGCAACCACATGTGCAACCCTACTCCTACAGGTCAGACTCCTGAAACGACGGCAGGGTGCTCAAAGTCGGAGAATGTCGGCAGTCAACCGACTCCCAGCGGGGGTGCCCGATTACCCAGCGTCGGTTGGACCACAGAAGAGGTAGGATTAGCAATTGGTCGCAGACCCGTTGTCTTGATGTTCTCAACGCGGAACACCCAGAAATGCAGACTCTTTCCCCAGGGCCAGCTTTGCATCCGAGTCGTTGTTTGATGGTCCCGGGGACCGGCGAGGGCTCCCCAAGCCGAAACACACTGAAAATTCGCCGGCCCAACGGGCCAGAGGCCTGCTAAGATCTCCGGCAACTACTTAACAGTATTTCTAGTTCGCGCGCGCGGGGCGGCCCCTGGGAGCCCCCGGACGAAAAATACCCCGGCCGATCCCCGGCTGGGTCCCGGGCGATAACCAGGGGGGAGGCTATTTTTCGCCACCCCTCACGAGGATCGTGGCCTCCGAGGGGGTGGCTGCAATCGACTACCCCCCCTCCCGCCCCAGGGGGCCCCCAAGAGCCCCCCAAGAGGCCCCAGGGGAGCCCAAGACGCCGCCGAGGCCCCAAGACGCTCCCAAGAAGCCCCCAAAAGGCCCCCAAGACGGCCCCAAGAGGCCCCAAGAGGCCCCAAATAGCGCCCCAGGGCCGGCGGAATGAGCGAAGCGATTAAATAATGTCTTGATGTGTTCAAGACGGTGGATGTCTGGGTTCCCAGAGTTGTAGCGTCTTGAAAAGGCAACACCTCATTTTGTTGACAAGTTTATGCCTCCGGTGCCTCTAGGGCACCTGACCGGCCCCCGCAACGGTGAAAACCTACTGAGGATGAAAAGCCAGCCGTGGAGGAGGGGTCGTGAGGAGCCCGCAAAGGGCTGCGTCCCCCCAGTCCGCGAGGCCAGCCTCGTTTTACGAACGGTCGCGCAGCGCGTGCTTGCGAAACCACCGTGGATTCGTGTGCGTGCGCGTCCTTCTTCCGCTCCTGAGGTCGGGACCTCCGGGGGCCCCTCATTGAAATAGTCTCAAAGTCGTCGGGTGTCTGGGCCTGGCGGCGCGCGCACAGGAGGTGGGGCGATGCGGTCGGCCTCCCGAAGAAGGCAGCGGGGCTCCTCGGGCGAGCCTGAAGAGCGCCCGTGACTGGCCCCGCCCCCCCCCCCTCCCCCTCCTGGTCACGCACGACATCGGCAGGAGAAAATAAAGGACGGTCTCGAGGCCTCCGAGAAGGCTCCTCCAGGGCGGGAGGGCCTCAAAGGCCCTCCTCGCCCCGCCCCCCTGGCGCGCGCCGCCAACGGATGGGCGTGCATGCCGAGTGGGCATGGCGCACACCCCTAGGGATCTGGGTGAACCTCCTGGGTCCGCGCTGGGCCCATCTCCCCACACCCATTCCCCCGCGCATCCCCGCGCATCCAGCGAGAACGCCGAGCCATGCTGACAAGACCCTCGTTCGTCAATCATTCGCCGACTAAGATGGTAATACGTACATAGATGTGTATTTTGGGGGAGATATGTGCATACAAGAAAAAATAGCCAGTCCAGCGGGCCGAATGCGTGCTAAGATCTCTGGTAACAGGTTTCGACTGTTTGTAGTTCGCGCGCGCGGGACCGCCCCTGGGTCTCCAGGCGTACCCTACGAGATGTCGGGCAAGGTCCCAGCAAGGATCCTGACAAGGGTACCTCAGAGATGTTTCTGCTCCTGGGAGCAGCCCTCGGGGCCCCCTAGAGAGCCCCAGGAGTGCCACAAAGTTGCTACAGAGAGCCCACGAGAGGCCAAAGAGCGGGATCAGTGCCCCAGGTAATCTCTGGATGGCCCCAGGCGCCTCAGAAACGCCTCAAGGGAGCCCCAAGAGAATTCCATAGACTGCCCCAGGGGCAAAATACATGAATTCCCCTTGGGTTGTTGAAGGATTTCGGCGTTATCACCTTGTCGTGCTCCTGACTCCCTAAGACGGCCCAGGGGTCTCCCAAGATCGCCCCAAGCCAGCCCCAAGGGCTCCCAGGAGGGCCCCAAGATAGCCCAAGAGCGCCCCAATACAGCCAAAGAGGCCCCCCAAAGGGGCTCTAGAGGCCCCCGAAAAGAGAATTCGAACCGCCATTTTAAGCCCTTTCCCCTGAAGATGACCCCCAAGACCCCCAGCAAGCGCCCAAGGGGCCCCCGAGAGACACCCAGTTGCCCCCAAGACACACCCGAGAGGCCCCACCCGCAAGAGGCCGCAAAATGTCGCCACAAGGCCTCGGAGAGGCCTCCCAATCCTAAGAAGGACCCCAACAAGCCTCCCAACAGGGCCTCTAGTCCACGACCAAGTCCGGCCGAAGGCCCCTAAACAATACAGTATTGTAATCTTGGGACGGCGGAGTGAGCGAAGCGATCCGCCGCCCTACCAGGTGCGGGCGCGTGAGATCCCCGGCGCATAGTCTGCAAGGACTATTTCCCCTCAGTCGTCTTACCCACGCATTCCTCGTATCAATACCTGTCCAAAAAGCCCTCGCAACCCATCCTGGGACCCTTCCGCGGCCGCGTCCTGCTCATTCCGCCGGCTCGGGACCCCGCCCGGCTGCACAACGGGCGTCCGCTGGCCGCCATTTCTGACCTCAACAGAGGCACGCCTGCACGGGAGACTTCTGGACGGCTCCGGGCGCCTTTCGGGACCTCTCTTGAAGCCATCCGGAGCACTCGTTGAAGCCTCTTGGGGCCCTCTTGGGCTCATGTGCGCCGTCCCAGGTGGCCTCTGGAGCCGTCTCGAACCCTCCAGAAGCCCTTGTCGAGACATGTTGAGCCGAAAACCCGAGGATGCCAAAACCTTCACAATCGAATGGGCTTTTATGATTTTCGCCTTTTCGGGCTTCTCTTCGCGCCTCTTGGAGCTCTCGGGGAGCCTCCTGTGGTACTCTTGATGCCTCTCTGGCCACGTTGGAAGAGCTCCATGGCCTCTCGAGCCGTCCTGAAGGCCTCTCGGTCAAGTCTTGGGCCGTCTGGCCGCCCAGGAGGGCAGTCGGAGGCCCCGAAACATGTCGTGTGGCTCACATTGTCCTCTCCGTATCCCTCTTCGGGTTCCGCCGCCGTTCAAAAACTTGGGGTCCCCTTTGAAGCAATGTTCAGGGCCTCTGGGGGCCTTCTTGGAACCCTCCTGGGCACTTTTCGGCGTCTGGGAGGCCCTCTGGAGCCGCCTTGGACCCCCCCGCCCGCCCTCTGGGCCCAGTTCCATTGCCCCCTCTTCCTCCACGAGGCCTCCCAGAGCCTCCACGTGTTAAAAAACTGTGGGGTGGGGGTGTCTGCCCACTCAGGGGCGTTCAAGTGGATCTACACACTAATCTTCAAAGATGGGGGTGCAGCGCCGACCCAGAAATCAGCGCGGGACTCTAAGAGTGCAAGAGTATCCATGAGTCCTGCACTCTCTTACGAGCGACGAATGTATACATGTCCATGCCCTCGCAGACTGAACTCCGAGGCGCCACTCCACGAATACGCGATCCCATGGGCACGCTGCGACAAAGGGGCATCCGCGCCAAATCCGCCATGCATCCACGGGGTCGCGGTTTCCAGTCCGTACTTCGCAAGGCCGCGATAGTTCGCTTGCGCGAACTCTTGCGCGAACTCTTCAACAGGGCGTAAACTACTGCGTCGGAAAGAAGCACGATTGCATCCCCGTGCAACTGGTGCGCCCAGACCGCAGATCATTGCATAAACACGAAAAACTACTGCCTGTCCTGTTGCACCTACTCTGGCCCCCACCGTCTGTGCTACCCTCACTCCTCCAGCATAGAGGATATAGACCCAAAGATCCAACGTTTCGCTTTTTTCAACACGGGGTCCCTGAAGTCCCGGCCCTTTCCCCAGGGCGGGCTTGTCATGCAAAGGCGTGTTTGACGACCCCCGGGCGGAGAAACGGCCTATGGACAACGGAAACGGCGAAAGGCATCCGCCTTGACATTGTCGACTTTTGGGAGGTCCGGAGATCTTATGGGATGCGCCTTCCGCTCACGACTGGTGCCTCATAGCCCTTCGCCAGAGGCTCCTACTACAGAGGCACACATTGACACAGAGTAGTCCAACAGGGGGCACGGGGAGCCCGAGGACGTGTGGCCTGGCCGCTGTGTCGCCTGAGACTTCCTCACAGTCTATTCGGGAGCGGTGTTCTCGCTTCAATGCCGGCTACATGTTTGGTCTGTACGGCCTACACTGTTGGTCTGGACTGAGACGCTCATGGCCATGCTCTCACCCCTGTCCGCGCTGCATCTCTCCCAGGAGTCCTTAGATACCTATAGGAATGCATTTCACTGGCCGACCTCCTACTCCTCGCCTCTTCACCTTTGCTGCTTTCAGGGTGCTTTGCCTAGGAAATGTCTTGTTGTTCTCGCGTGCCTGATCCCGCACTGTGTGGTGCCGCACCCGCCGTGGTGCACCACGGCACGGCAGCGCGGGAAGAGCCACTCGTGATCCAAGGCGCCCACGGCCGCGGTGCCTGCCGCGATCCGCTCCCGCAGCTCCTCCTCCTGCGATGGGGATCGAAAGTCGGGACGTCCGAAGAGAACAAGATACTGATACAGATACCGTTCCCTCGTCGCCACGGCTAGGTTCGCGCCGAAATTCTGGTCAGCACGCACCCCTGGCGAGGTGAGGCGAGTAGCGGTACCCGTCACCGCGATAGGTCTTCAATAAACCCCCAGTAATTGTAAACTACAAATTGTTCTCTGCAGGCTTGTTGAAGGATTGGGACCCCAACAATAGTTGCCAAAAAATAATTCGTCGCGGCAGCCACCGCTGATGATCGAGGGGGATGAGGACCCCTGATGGTGATGATGATGGTGATGATGACGACGATGATGATGATGACGACGACGATGACGATGACGATGACGATGACGATGATGATGATGCTGATGATGATGATGACGATGATGACGATGATGACGATGATGATGATGATGATGATGATGATGATGATGATGATGATGATGATGATGATGATGATGATGATGATGATGATGATGATGATGATGATGATGATGATGATGGTAATGCTGATGATGGTGATGATGAGGATGACGATAATGATGATGCTAATGATGAAGACGATGATGATAATGATGATGGTGATGAGGAGGAGGAGGAATTGTTCAGTTTAGTTCTCAAGTCCATCAACACCGTTTGTAACTGTTGTGGAACAACTCTGGCTGGGGCTTGGGATTCGAGGAGCAGGAGCAGGAGAAGGAGGAGGAGGAGGAGGAGGAGGAGGGGACGAGGAGGGGAAGGACTACTTTGATTGCTAGCCGAGAGCTTAGGAAGGGGGGGTGCATCAGTGAAGACCTCCCGCAGTTACCTTCATGCCCGCCCAGGTCGGACGAAAGGGGGAGTCACCCTAGGCAGCAAACAGTACCCCCCCCCCGCGCGATTTCGCTAGCACCAAAAAAAACTATGTTCGGCAGTGCCCTCCTGGCGGTATCGCCAGCACAAAAAAAAAACATCCGCCGACCCCTGCCTGCCCGGGAGAGGGGAGGGGCGAGCTCGTCAACGTACCCCTCGGAGCCTCTGGTGGAGCCCGCAGTTAGCCCCAAGGCAGCACAGCAGGGCCCAGACAGAACGCTGAGACAGGCGAAGAGAGCGTCATGACGGCCAAGTGCATACCCACGACGATCCAAGATGGCTTCAAGATGGCCCACGAGGCCTCCAAGACAGCCCAAAAGCGCCTCCAGAGGGTCGCCGAGAGGCCCCACGAAGCCAAAATCGCCACATCCCCTTTGGGAAAACGTGCAGTGTCAGCACTTTTGATAGCGAATCCGACGGCCCAAGTGGCCCCAAAGATCGCCCCGAGATGGCCCATGATGCCTCCAAGAAGGCCCCAAGAGGCCCCCGAGGGCCCTCCAAGAGGCCCCAAGAGGCCTCCAAGACGCCCCCAAGAAGCCCCGCAGAGGCCCACACGAGGCCCCAAAGAGCCTCCCACATGCCCTTGAACTATTCCAAGAGGCCCCAGAGAGGCATCCCCAGAGACCCTCAAATTCATCCAGGAGGCTCCTGACCCGAGATATAACCTGGCGCCCTCTTGGGCCGTTTTGGGGGCCTCTTGGGAGCCTCTTGTGCCGTCTTGGGGCGGTCTTGGGGGCCTCTTGGACCGTCGTCAACGCCGTGAAAGCCGGAAAGCCGTGTATGCTAAAAATGTACGCTTTCCTGTAGGAAATTTCTGATTTTGGCCTCCTGGTGGCCTCGTGGGACGCCTCTTGGGGGCCTCTTGGGGCTTCTTGGGGGGCTGTGGGGGCCTCCCGGGAGCGTCTTGGGACGATGGGCTAAACTTTTCGGTTCGGGGTCCCCCTCTTGGGGCCGTCTTGGGGCCCTCTTGGGCCGTCTTGGGCGCCTCTTGGGCCGTCTGGGGGCCCTCTGGGGCCGTTTTGGGGGCCTCTCGGGAGCCCATTGGGCCGTCTTGGGGCGGTCTTAGAGGCCTCTTGGGCCGTCGTTAACGCCGTGAAAGGCGAAAAGCCGTATATGCTAAAAATATACGTTTTCCTTTGCAGCAACTATGATTTTGGCCTCTTGGAGCCCTCTTGGGACGCCCCTTGGGCGCCTCTTGCGGGCCTCTTCGGGGCCTCTTGGCCGTCTTAGGCGGTCTTGGGCTCTCTTGGAGCGCTCGTGGGCCGTCTTGAAGGAGAACCCGGAAAACAACACCCATGGGAAAACCCCCAAAACGGCCATTAGAGCCAATCCGCTCGCGCTACGCCCCCCCCTGGAACCCCCCCTTAGGGGCTTCGCCCAACACACAACGTCATCACTCGTACCTCGCGCTTTCCGTTACTTCAACGCCCCAGTTCCCCACACCCCTCTTCGACACCTGGTCGCTTTCGGGCCATAACGCGGGCCTCCCGCAGCAGGCAACTCGGGGCCCTCGACGAGGCGCAGCTGCTGGAAAGCATCCCGAGGCGAGAAATCTCCTAGAGCCGAAGGAAAGACTTCCTCCCCCACTGCCACTTCTACGACGAAGCCTCCTTCCTCCCTTCCCTGGCAGCCCTAGCCCTCGCCCTCATCTTGGACGCCCCCGACCCGTTCTGAAGACCGCTCCCCCTCCTCGCCGGGGCGGCCTACGTAGAAGACGTCGGGCGGAAGCCTCTGGTGGAGGGAGCCCAGCGAGCCCCACCCGCGCTGCAGGACCACCCGCCTACCGACGCCGAGCGCCGCGTTCACCGCGGCATCTGCAATCGCCTCTCGGCGGCATGCAAGGAGTGGCCCCACCAGGAAGCGAAGCACGCACGAGGCTGGACTCACATGTTGAAGGTCCGCGCGGACTTCTCGAGTTGGCGCTGAGCCCCACTCCCTGGCGGCCCCTGGCACCCAGAGGCGCCGCAAGGGAGGTCCAGCGCCGATCCGAGAAATCCGCGCGGACCTCGGCAAGCTCATGTTCATGTCGTTTGTTCCTCCTCGACCTGTGGAACGTCTGGAGGTCGCGCACAGGATACACGGGCCAAGCGCTGGAGAGGCACCGAGTCACGAGTCACCTTCGTATCCAGCTCTCGCCAAGACTGGCCACGTCATGCGTGCCCAGCTCCCTGGCCAGAAAGAGTTGTTTTTTTTTGGTGTGCGGCTTCAGGGCCGCGGGGGAGGGGTCCGGGTCCGAACGCGCAGGCCAGTGCCCGGGCGAGGCGCCCAGTGGGCCCGCACAACAGGCCACTCTGGCGAAGGGCAAGTCACGTACATTTCAAAACAAAAAACAATGTTTACATAAGCATAGGCGTTCGAAGGTCCGCTTGAATTTCTTGGAGCGGCGCTGGAGCCCCTCCATGGAACGCGGTTCTCGCCAGGGGCGGCGCCGGAGGCAAGGTCCAGCGCCGATCAAAGGCATCCGTGAGGACCTGCGAAAGTCGGTGATTACTCCTCTACGACCAGGGGGGATAGGCTGAAGGGTGGATACATCGATGTCCCGCCCCTGAGCCTATCCCCTCCGATCGTTGCCCCTGATGTGGTCGAGCCTCGAGATCCGACGAGATGGAGCCGAACCCGACGTACACAGGCGGTGCGCCAGCGGCGAGGAAGGCCTGGCGGGGACGACGGGCGCGCGGGCGCTCGCACCGCGCGCGCTCGGTCGTTCGCCGGCGGCGGCGGCGAAGAAAGCCTCCAGGGCATGGAAGTCCATGGCGACGCCCACATCGAGAACCGACCTGACGAATGAACAACAGACACCCTTACCCATAGGGGGATCGGAGAGAGGAGGGCTGGCTATGGGTATGGGTATTGTCGGGCCGCGGGGGAGGCTCCCGCCCCCATCCGACAACTCGCAACCAGTTAGCCAAGCCCCCGTCCCCTCTAGGGGTATGGATGTGCGTTGCTCGTTCGCCAGCGGCCGAGCGGATGGCAAAGCCGCAGCCGACGCGAACCGAGGGGCCGAAAGCAGCCTGTGGTCACGCAGTTCTGGGTGGGCGAAGCCATCCCCGCTCGGACCAGCCGGCCGACCCACACCCACATGGGTGCCGTCTCCTTCAGGCTTCTGACTACCTACCAGACCACCCCAACCCAACCCGAAGACCCGAATTTCGGGTTGGGGGGGGTAAGGGTTCCACATGTGTTTTCTCTATGTTTCCCGACCGACCCCCCCTGGAAATCGAAGGTAAATCTGAGCCTTCGGGTTGGGTTGGGGTGGTATGGTAGGTCGTCGACGGCCTTCCGGCAGGACGAGGCCAGGGCGAGGATAAGCAACATCGGGCGAGGATCCAACTCCTCCTCCCCCTCCCCCTCCCCCCCCCCTCCTCCTCCCTCTCCTCCTCCTCCTCCTCCTCCTCCTCCTCTTCTTTCCCCTCCTCCTCCTCCTCCTCCTCCTCCTCCTCCCCTTTCTCCTCTTTCTCCTCCTTCTCCTCCTCCTTCGGGTGGTGAGCTTCGCAGCACCAGTGCACTTCTTGTCTCGCGGCGCTGGCGGACGCGAGCGGGCCTGCGGGAGCCGGCCGCGCCGGACACCTGGGCGCGCGCAGCACCCTCCCTCGGCCTCCACCTTCCGAGCCTTCCGCGCCGCAGGTTGGGGGGCCACGTGCGAACCCTACCCCTACCCCCCACGAGTTCTGAGGGGGAGGGTGGGGTCCACTTCGCTCGGGAGAGGGGGAGGGTGGGGTTCACTTCGCTCGGGAGCTCCCGAACGAAGTGAACCCCACCCTCGCCCTCAGAAATCGTAAAAGGTAGGGGTAGAGTTCGCATGTGGCCCCCTACAGGTGCCGTCGCGGCGCGGCCGCGACCGCCGCCATGGGCCAAGACCGCCGCTGCGGCCTCGACGGATGCCGCTATTGCGGCCTCGGCGGCGGCCACTACGCAGCATCTGCCTCGAGAAGGTGCGGAAGGTGGAGGTTGAGGGCTTACACCCCACCTACCTTGAGAGGGTACGTTGGGAGAGCTGCCTCCACCCTGTCCAGGTCAGGTCTGGGATGATTCCGACGCTGATGCACGTACGAAGCCATGTTCTTCGCGGCGTAATCCCGTGGAGAGTTCGTCATCTTCCTGGGGACCGCGTTTGCATCCTGAATCGACTGTTGACCGTCCTGGCTTCCGGAAACTGCCCCTGGAGGCCGAAAGCATTGAATGAACCCAGCGCAGTCGCAACTGGGAGAACGCTTCGTAAGCGGAACTGCTTGGCATGGCTTGGCATGGTTTGGCGTGGCTTGGCACTGTTCGGAAAAGGGGGCTCTCTGGGGAAGCAACTCTCCGGGGGGGGGGCGCCGTGAGGGAGCGGCGCGTCGGTCGGAAGCGGTGAGCAGGAGCATGAGGACGGAGGCGTTCCGAGTGGACAGGCCGCGGCCCGCCCTCGAAGAGAGAGGGACAGAGGAGGGCCACCCCGTTCATAAAGTAAGAATGCGCCTGAAATCGATCGTGACTGGGCCCCCATCAAGGAGACTCCATTCGACGGCCGGCGAGTAATACCCCTCCCTCCCACCCCTCGGGAGGAGGCTCTCCAGCGGGGGTGGTGGGGGGGGGCAAGGCAAGGGAGAAACAGAACTCCTCCCTCCAGGGCTGGTGGGCGCGCGGCGTCGGCGTCGCCGCCGCATTCGCCACCGTGCAAATCGTCGGCGCGGTTGTCGGCAGCGCCGTGGTCGTCGTTGTCACATGACCGATTCTGGAAATCCTGCACCCAAAAAAGTGTCCATCTCTTTAACTCTTGCTTCCGCCGGATTCCGCCGGCCTTCCGCCGCCTTCCGCCGGCGGAGGCGGCCCCGCTTTACTTCCGCCGCATTCCGCCGACCTTCCGCCGTCTTCCGCCGAGGAAGAGATGCCAACTCCTTCGATCCTCGAAGGCGAGGCCATTTCTGGAGCGCCCCAGATGAATCCTCCTCTCCCTCCCTCCTCCTCCTCCTCCTCCTCCTCCTCCTCCTCCTCCTCCTCCTCCTCCTTCTCCTCCTCCTCATCATCATCCTCATCCTCATCCTCATCCTCATCCTCATCCTCATCCTCATCCTCATCCTCATCCTCATCCTCATCCTCATCATCATCATCATCATCATCATCATCATCATCATCATCATCATCATCATCATCATCGTCATCATCATCATCATCATCATCAGCATCATCATCATCATCATCATCATCAGCATCATCATTTTCAGCATCAGCATCATCATCATCAGCAGCAGCAGCAGCAGCAGCCATCCTCCTCCTCATCATCATCGTCGTCATCAGCATCATCGTATTATTCATCTTATTCATATTAGTATCACTGGTTATTCTTCTTCATCATCATCATCATAATCATCGTAATCATCATAATTATCATCATCAGCAGCATCATCATAATCATCATAATCATTGTCGAGCCGAGGCGACTCGAGCGAAGTTTTGAGTCAACCTCTCCTTCCTCACTCTCTCTTTTGCCGCCGCCTCCGCGGCTGTATGGGATCGAGGAGGGGGCCCCCTCTTTTGTGCAGAGAGCGCGGCAGACACGCTCGCCGGCACGGGCCGGCGCCAGATGCTCGACGGACGAGCACAGCACATCTCATCGTGCAAAGTACAGCGTCGACGTTAATCACGACATTGGTATTGCGGAGCTTGATCCACGGACCAGTTCTGGTGGTCCCCAAGGGACCAGAACACCATGGAGCGAGACGACAAGAAGGCAAAGGACGCCATCCCTGAATGGGACGGCAACCCAGGACGTTGGCGACACTTCGAGACGGCAGTGAAGTGGTTCCCTCGCACGCTGAAGAAGCAGGACAGGGACCTAGCGGCGAACAGGATCATCGGTCGCATGCTACAGAGCAAGACGATAGCCATACGGACGTTTGCGACCACCTTGGATCCAGACAGATATGAGAATCCGAACGGCCACCTCCTCCTCTTAGACGATCTGAGGAACAGTCCACTGGGAAAGCTACCTATCCCAGATGCGGCCCACAAGATTAAGCACTACTACAAGGACTTCAAGCGCCGCAAAGGCGAGACAGTGGGCGCGCTCCTGATCCGGGAGCAGGACTGTTATTCAGAGATGATCCAGGCGCTGGAGCGCCTCTTGGAGGAGATGGGCGACAATGACAAGTACAAGCAGTGCCGAGAGTGCTACGGTTACTTCGACCGAGACCGTGGCGCAGCCGGACGTGGACAATGGTACTGCCAGAGGTGCTGGGACCACTGGGAACCCAGCCCCGATGCGCCAACGCCCTCAGAGGATGCCCCTGCGGAGGATGCAGAAGAAGCAGATGAGTATGAACGACAGTCGATTACGTCTCGCTCGCAGGGCTCTCGAACGGATCGATTTCACCGACAAGAATCCATGGCCAGCAAGCTCAAGGTTTCGGAAGCGATGGCAGTGGGCTCCACATTCTTCGGCCATGCTTCTGGAGTCCTGAAGGTCCTCCGCGGTTTCTTCCTGCTCGAGGCGATGGACTTCACCGAGAAAGAGAAGCAGGACGTCCGCGTGGTCACGCAGAATCGCCTGGATTTCGATGCAGTCTCCAAAGCTTTGAAGGAGAGATGGGAGGACAAGGCGCTGGTGCAGCGGGACTTCGGACCGAGGGCCATGCCTCGGTACGGCCCGGAGTCGAGCCCTCAGTCAGCCCTCGCTGCAGAGTTTGACGACGCACACGGACCGGACTGGTATGACGGCTACGCAGCGGCAGTTCAGGCGTGGGAGAACGACGGTTACGACCATGAGAACGAGGACGACTACGACGTCGTGGAGGAGCCGCAGCTCACCTCAGAGCCAGAGGAGTCCGAGGCCATGGACGAGGATCTCAACCATCTCCACGAGGAGCTTGAGGCGGCCCAGGCGATGGCAGCCGAGGCTTCACGTACTCTAGTTCAAGCCAGGCAAGCAGTGGCCGCAGCTCACAAAGATCGAGGATTTGGCAAGCCATCATCGAGTCCAGGAGGGAAGAGCCGCCTTCCCCCGTCGTGGCCACACCAGCCGCCCTCGAGACCGCCGTTCAATGGTCGAGGCCCCAAGGGCAGCAAGAGCGGCAAGAACGGCAAGGGCAGCAAGTACCGCGACAGGGACCACGACCAGAAGGGCAAGAATGCGAACTACCTGGAGTTTCACACGATTACGCACGGGTTTGACGAGCTCCAGGGGCTGTACCAGGCGGAGCTGACCGACAACGGCCTCGCCCCCTCTGAGGCCATGGTTGATTGCGGGGCTTCTGCGTCCGCCGGAGGCGAGCGCGCAGTCCAGGCCCTGGTCGCCGCCGTTGCGGCTGCGAACCCGCAGGCCAGGATCGAGATCAACAAAAATGAAAGACCGTGGTTTCGTTTCGGAGACAATAAGTGGGGCAAAGCACTGTATAAGGTTTCGGTCGAGTTCGAGCCGGGCTTCGTTCTGGGTATTTTCGCTCTCAGTCCTGGCGTGCCTCTCGTTCTGTTGGGAATGACCGCTCTGGAGTCGTGGCCGGCAATCGTGAATTTCCGAACCGGGGAGGCTGTGATCAGGGGTCAACTGGTGCAGCTTCGCAAGACTCCAGGCAAGGGCCATTGCATCCTCGATCTGGTGAAGCACGTTTCCGAGATTTTAAACCCGACCGCGGAAAACACCGAGGGTCTTGCAAGGGCGTTTCAGAGATGGTCGATGGCA